GTGTCACATAGCAATTATATAATATAATAAGGCAAGTGGACGGGGGTGGCGATGGGCTCCCCTATTGGGTCCCATTTTGGCTGATTTCTTTCTAAGTAAGCTAGAAAATGGACCTTTGAACAACCTTATCACAGTAAGTTCTCATTTTATTGCCGGTATATGGATGATACCTTCATTCTTTGTGATAATGATTCGGATAAGAGTACAATAATTACTGAATTCAATGAAGTACATTCGGCTATGAAATTCACATGTGAAGAGGAATCCGAAGACAGAATTGCCTTCTTGGACGTCCTCCTTACAAGAAAACCTGATGGTAGCATAAAAATGAATTTTGCATAGAAAAAGTACTTGGACAGGACAATATACACATTTTTACAGCTTCGTTCCTATCAAGTAAAAAAGAAATTTAGTGAAGACCCTAAGCCACAGAGTTAGAGCTATATGTTCAGAAGAAGTAATTGAAGATGAGTTAAGCATTGCGTATGAAAATTGTGGTTGAAAATAGCCATCTCGACAAATTTATCAAGAAACACATGACAAAGAAAGCGGAAAAGGACTACTCACTATCCGTAAACAAGGGCGATATACAGAGTGAGATAATCACGAGGAAATTAAGAAAATCAGTTCAAAGAACTTTTAATACTGGCGAACTACACGTCTTATTCTCTGCACGACCGATGGTGATTCCTCGACTGAAAGATGAAGTACCTAGACTAGGTAGCCACTTCTAACTGTATCTACCAATTCAACTAAGCTTGTAGAGCGAGTTATATCGGCCGTTGCTCTAGGAACTTGATTTTTCGTGCTCGGAACATCTCCCACTATGGCTAAGTAAAGGTGTAGTGAAAACCATTAACAGTTCGATATTTGACCATCTGGTGCAAACCGGTCACAAAGCCAGCGTAGAAGAATCCTTCTCTATAATCTACCAGGTGCCTAATAAATTGCCAAAATCATCGAAGCACCGCATGCTGCAAACAGCAGAGGCTATTGCAATTCGCCTCAAACAACCAGTGCTCTGTGTTCAAAAGAAACAAGTCCAGCCCCTACTACTGCCCTGACTCTCAGTAGAAACTATAAACTCATGAATTTGTATTATTATCTTTCCTAATTTTTCTGACATTCAGCTTATTTGATGTTGATGCTGTTCAGCTGTAATCTATCAATATTATTGATTCGATGTTATTTAAACAACATTAATGTTGTTCATAACACTAATTCACTCACTCACTATAATGTGCATATATAACTGTAGAGCCTGATGATGAAGTTATCGAAAAGAGTACTCTTTGTTCAGTATCCATTCTTTTGATAATAATAATAATAAATTGTGAAACCTAGATTAAAATGTACAACTACAGCACTGCATGATATTGAGAATACAGTTAGCATTACAGCGTGGTTAGGTAGAAGAGTCGTAAAGTCACTCAGAAGTTCCATACTGGCACACCTAGTTGGATACGGAGTACCAGATTGACGAAAATTCAGCTCTTACAAATCTATACTAGGTGCCAGCTCAGTTTCCCTAGGTTGGTACGTCTTCGGTTGCTAGGCATAGTGGAGGCAGTTGCCATAAAGATTTTTCAACCCAATCTCTGTGTTGTCAGAAAATCTCTGTTCAATATTTTTCCCTCCGTTGGCCTTCACAGCCAACCTAAAATAGTTATGTTATATATGTCCAAACCAAGTTCATTTTTAACGGTTTTAAAAAATTTGGGCATTGGGTATATGATATTCATTATAATAAAGGTTTTTGTATTTCCCAATGAATGAAAAACAAAACGATATTGCTGCTTTTACTGACGTTTCGCTATTTAATGCTAATAGCTTTATCAAAGTATTATTAAACCGGAATTTACAAAATCTCAGCATATATATAACAAACAGTTAGGGGGTGAGAAAATAGACTTAGGTCAAGTTAAAGGGACATATTGAAAGTAAAAATAGCAATGAAGATAACTGAACCAAATAACAAAGGTAATAGTACGTCTGTTATGATATCAAAATAAAGTTTACTAACTTGATCATCGTTCGTCTGTCTGGGGGCATTTTTAGTTGTCAAATAGTTATCTCTCCCGGTGACACCGGATAACTGTAAATATTATCTTATTATATTTTTATATTATTTTATTTGTAATGCCAAATGTATTATCAATATCACGCTGTGCTGTAGTTGTACATTTTATTCTCCGTTACACAATTTATTATTATTATATTATCTAATCGCTACGTGACAACAGTCATTTTCCCCTCTACCCCTACTGGTTAGTTTGCACATTCTACCTATACAATCACCGTTGCTTGGATTACATAGACACTTTAATGAATTAATCCTTGTTATTATTATTATTATTATCACCTCGACTGTTATCCATTGATTCACATCCCTGAACTGTGATCCCTGATAGTCTATTAACCACATTCATCATTCAAATGCCTATGACTAATATTTCATTATTATGTAAATGTAAAGCCTGATGAGAATTTACTGAAAACACGTATTTGCTTCACTGGTGTTCTATAAAGTTAGAATTCACAAAATCATTGGATTCCTATTCAAGTGGCTGTGAAATTTCCCAGTTCGATCCCTGGCAGGTTCATGTGTGTGTACCCACTAATGAAGAGTCCCTACCTGGGACGAAACGGCTGTCCAGTAGCTCTTGATGGTTTTCAGTGATCTCTCTCTGTCTCTAAGTGATCTGTTAGTGGGTGGGTTGGTTGGTTTGTGGTGAAATCTAACAAAACTGAAATAGGATTTAACCTTAGTCTCTATAGGAAGGAAGCCATGATGTAAACTATTGTTTCTTTATTTCAAGGGGGTGGTGGGGTTGTAAAACTGCGTAAAACTTACTTGACTGATAGTAAATGGAAAGAAATCGGCTGATTCATTTCCTCCATTCCAAATAAATTGATCATTACACATTGAATCATTCATCGTATAATATATTAATAATTTATTGGGAAATACATACGTTTATTTGTTTAGTTGTTCAAAATTTTTAATTTATCAAAATAACTATCCAGATTTTGGTTTGATTTTGAAGTGAAGTTAGTTTTCAACTATGAAACCATTTGTTTTATACTACTGTAACCACGGAGTGATACTCTGGATACATGACAAATGATAAGTAATGTAAACTCTGTTAATATTTCGAAATATTATCATCATATATTTCCAATATTCAACTGATCTCTGTCTCTGTCTCCCCCTGAACACTCGCACTCTGTCCCCCTCTCTCTTAATGCTTCGCATTGTTAACACATTCAACCAATGAAAATAAAGATTAAAACAAATTTCATTTTTAGCTTAACGCCTACGGGGTGAGAGAAAGGAAGTACAGGAGTAAAATATGATTGGTTAAAAAATTTTCCTTAACGGAATGAAAATTTATGGGAAGCCCATTACCACCACCACCATTATAAAAGGGTGTTGTAGTGAACTTCTATATTGGATACATGTTTGGGGAAATTTCTGATTGGATATTAGTCAGTAACTAGTGTAATGTGTCTAGTCTCCTATCTTCGGTGCAGACTGAATTCTATCAGTCAAACTTGCAATGTGACCACCATGCTAGATGGCTCGCCATCACGGTGCATTGTGAATTGTTGGTTGGAGGCAATCGGCAGGAGTTCCTTCGAGGTTGCTCATACGCCGTGCTGATGAGTGCCAACTAGCACGAAACCTAGGTCTAAGGCTTCCTGTTGCCGATTACCTCCAACCATAGAATACCAACAATTCACAGTGCAGGGTGATGGCGAGCCACCTAGCATGGTGAGGCCACATTGCAAGCTTGACTGATAGAATTCAGTCTGCACCGAAGATTTATTTTTATTTTTTATTTTGATTTTGATTTACAGCTTGATTCCACACCGTATTTTCAGTACAAGTATGGAATTTTCAGCATGGATATCGGTTGCCCAAATTCAGGCATACCATAGATATCGGGTGTGCGCCGGCAGGGGATCGAACCCCGGACCATGTGCATGGTCGGCGAGAGTCCTAACCACTGTGCCACCGACGCACAGATAGGACTAGACGCATTACACTAGTTACTGACTGGTGTCCAATCAAAAATATCCAATACAGCCCTACAGGAGGTCAATCGCAAGCCTGAATAGCTCAGTGGTAACGTCTCTGACTGCAGTACCCACGGTGTGACGCGGGTTTGAATCTCAGAAGGGACATAAGTTCCCTCAAGGTTGCAGATACGCCTTGCTGACCGGTGAGTGCCAACTAGCACGAAACCTAGGTCCAAGGATTCCTGTGGCCGATTGCCTCCAACCATATAATATGTTTGGTGAAATGTCAAGTGTTTGTTTGCAGGGATTTGATTGGTTACGGGTCTAACCAAGAGTTACAGGATTTCATCGTGAGCTAACATCACTTAGAGAACAATTGGAAAACCTGGGAGTACTGGACATTTGTTTCATCATAGTTTGGGACTATTCAGTAGTAAGCAGCCACCGCCAGGGTTCGAACCCAGGAATGGTTCTCAAACCGATGTCAGCTCATAATGAAATCCTGCAACCAATCAAATCAAATCCTTGCAAACAACCACTGAAAAACCATAGACTACTGGACGACTGTCTCTTCAGTGTTTTTGGGATTCTTCAGCAGTAGCCACAGGCCACCAGGGGGAATGCAAATACATTCAGATGACGAGTCCCAAATAGGACAAAATGCGCATTATCCTGGATTCCACTGCTAGTCACCATCCACCAATTCACTCCAAGTTAATTAATCAGACATCTTCGAAGTATCTGCACCCGGGAGCCAACATGTCAACCTGAGGCCAAGCACTTCGGTCCAATCAATCAACGGGAAAGTTCAAATTAAATTCAATAATGTGAACTTGTTTGAATTCAAATCTTTAAATATTCCCATTTTTAATATTAGAACAAGACATATAAGCGAACAATATTGCTGTTGTTTTCAATTAGATCTTCTTCAGGCTTTACTCTAATTTACATAGATTTATATATAAAAATTTTAACCAATGACGTTGATTTGTGGATCAATTAATAATAATAATAATAATAATAATAATAATAATAATAATAATAATAATAATAATAATAATAATAATAATAATAATAATAATAATAATAATAATGTGGTAAATGTTTTGAACGTCAGTAATAACGATGATTATAATGATAACAAAATATTGATAATAAGGTTTATGCAGGTGGTGATAAGGAGAATAACGAAGGTAGTAATATGTGTATTGATATGTAGACAATTCAATAAATAAATAAATTAGGTCAAATGTTAAACGTTACGCAATACTAAAGTTAGGTGAAGTGGACGGATAATCAAAGTCTAAATAAATATCGTTAAAACACGAAGGTAGGAAATGCAAAATAAGAAAGGGTGTGAAGATTTTGATTAGAATTCACCTAGGCAAGCAAGGGAAAGACAAAGGTAGAACAAACTTCTTTTGTATGCAAAGACTAGGATTGTTCTCTCGAATTAATTCCCATAGCTTATTCCGCTATGTGTAGAAGGCAGGTTCGAATTCCGTTTGAAAGGCTCGATGGAATGCGATAGATAACTTTGAAGGCACCATTTTTGTCCACTTGGTGACCACTGTCATCAATCAAATGAGCCAAAATAGAACTTCTTATAGATTTTATTTAACCTTTTCCGAACCAAGAAGGAAGATGTTTGAATTCTCCATGTGATTGACATAATTGTATCTCTTGACAACCTCCTTTGTCGTAATTAGTTATTAATTTACATCTTTATGGTTTCTTTTCATTGCCTTGGAATTTGAACATTTTTGTCATGTGTCTGTCAGTCGTCACTGATTCATTTCCAGGACATTTTTGGTGTTTCCACTGTTTCAAATTTCTACATTTTCTAAATCAAATTGATGCCTACAGTTGTCTACTTTGCATCGATATGAGGGAATACATTATCATGCCTTTTTTCACAGCTAATTTGTGTTTTTGGATACTGATTCGAAGTAGATAGCCACTTTGACGAGTGTAGTGTTTGAATAAGGCATTTAGAAGACAAATTTCGCGAGATGATGGCATCATTTCGTAGTTTCTCTACAATCATCACTTTACAACTAACATGGTTAACAATAATAAAATAAAGGGCATGACAATTACTCAGTTATATGAAACAAAAGTGCATACTAATGACCAATCATATTTAAATAGGTCAAGTAGTCCATGGTAGGCGAAGATTGAAGTCTATTGATTTTGTACACACAGTTTAGGCTGTATGTGATTAATCCCCAAAGTGCTTCCATCACCTTCAATAACCAACCTTGAATTAGAGTTATTGGTGAAATAATTGTGAAACAGTCATTAATATTGATTTTGTGACCTAACATTAATAAGTGCTTTGCAATATGTGGATTTCTATTCAGATTAATTGCATTGGGATTTTCTGTGTTTTAATAACCATTTCGGAACATGTTTTTTTCGACGACATTGGAACATTCCATTGGTCCCACCTATATAAATGTCACTACAACTGCAGGTGGACTTGTAGATACAGTTTGAAGTAGAGTCCACAGAATTTCGTCCTTTAATTGTAGGTACAGGGATCGAAAATGTTCGGCAAGTGAGAAAAAGAGATGCGGCGGCGTAGAATGTGCGTTTGATGGCTGACCGAAGTCTTTGAACTGTCAACTGCATAATCTGGTCACCCTTGAATGGTAGGTTAATAAAGATAGCTTTCTTTGGTACAGAAGCTGTCTTTTCGAGATGCGATCTATCCTTACTGTGACAATTAATAAAGCTTTCTGGATAATCGTTAGCTAATAAAACTGAATGCATATGTCGAAGGTCATCCAACAATGTGTAGCTTGAACACATTTTGCGGGACCTTGACAACAAACGCTTACACTGGATAGGAACAAAATTGGTGAAATGAAGATATTGTCCACTCCATGTCTGTTTACGAAAAATAGATCGCTGAGTCGTTCCATCATCCCTCCTGATCATTGTAATATCCGGAAAACCGAGTTTGTTATTCTATTAGAGTTCAGAAGTCACTCGGATATTTGGATGAATATGATTAAATAGGGTAATGAAGTTTTCAATAGACTTACTGTTATAACCGATAATGAGAGTATCATCCATATAAAGTTTAATTAGCATAAATTTTCCATGTATACCTTGCATTTGTTTCTCCAATTTCGACATGAATATATCTGCTAACAGGGTCCCAAGAGGCCTCCCCATCGCAACACCATCGATTTTCTTGTATGCCTTTTCTTGGAAGGTAAGTTTATCCCATTGCTTGTGATATAATCTCAAATGAAATCAACAGTTTCATGAAGAGGAACATTGGTGAATAAAGATTCTATGTAACCTTTTCCTTAATGTTCAAGGTGTCTAGCATTTGGTCAGATCAAATGGACTTTGATTTGATAATGAGTCCCTTACAGGCGTAAGGACTTCTGTAATCCATTTTGCGATTTTATGATATTGGAGAATTAGACATTTCTAAGATGGGTCTCAGTGGGTTCCCAGTTTTGTGGATCTTTGGAAGGTCATACAGCCGGGGAGTATGTAATCCAATAGCTTTAAGTTCATTATAATAAAGGGTTTTTGTATTTCCCAATGAATGAAAAAACAAAACGATACTGTTGTTTTTACTGACGTTTCGCTATTTAATGCTGCTAATAGCTTTATCAAAGTAGTGATATTAAACCAGAATTTACAGAATCCACTCAGCTTATATATAACAACTTAATCATCGTTCCTCAGCATGGGGTCATTTTCGCGTTGTCAAGTTGGTCAATTGGTAAAGATAACAAAACCAGGTGTAGATTGTTGGATTTGATAAGTGTGTAAGATTATAAGGGTAGCATGTGTTTACATACTGAAATTGCTTATCACATTCGTGTTGATGTTGCCATTTCATGGGGGAGGGGTGTGTTGTAACCAGGTCAAATTCTGTTTCAGTCCATCATTCCTATTCAGACAATTTGTATTCCACTGGATATGAAGTGCTTCTGATATTAGATGTACTTTGTGATTTCTGAAATGCCTTTTCTGGATGATGATTTCAATATTGTCAAAATCAATTTTGTGGCCTGATTCTATAGAGTGTAGACCACCTATGGCTGATGATTTTTCAAGCTTTTCTAGTTCAACTGGATTTATTTCTCGGTGGTCGAACAGATGCGGCTCTACGGTATTCATTTCTTCTGATTCCCTTGATTTCTGTTTCGTGATGTTTGTCCGATGTATATCGCATCACATTCGAAGCATTTTATTTTATAGACACAATTAGATAGAGAATCTTTAGGAATTTGGTCTTTTATATGGACAAGGTTGCTTTGTAGTGTGTTTGTCTGATGTTTTGAAGAAAACTCTGATGTCGAGCTTATTGAGTACCCTTCTGATATCGTTTGACGTCTCCGCTCTATGTGGAATAACAACTGTTGAGGTCCATGTTTTCGGAATACGTTTTCAACCATACTTGATGTCAGTGTTGATTTTGTTGATGAAGTTCTTTGGGTAGTTGTTTTACTTGAGAGTTTCAGTAATGTTTGATATTTCTTCTTCTTTTTCTTTCTCATCCTTTAACATCAGAGAGTGTGCTCGTCTGAGAAGACTTGAAACAAATGATAGTTTTGCGCTGATGGGGTGTGATGATCCGAAGTCTAAATATTTATTGGAGTGGGTTTTCTTCCTGAATACAGATATACTAAAATGTCCGTTTTCTTTCCTCTTAACTAGGCGGGCAGTCTAGAAATGTTAGTTCACCGAAGTCTGATTCTGTTTCTGAAGTAAACTGGATGGTAGGAGATAGATTGTTCAGTTTCTCTAAGAATGAACTGTGTAGATCTCGTTTTAGCACAAGAGAAGTATCATCTACATATCTCAACCATATTTTAGGCGTGAGTATGCTTGAAAAGATGTTATCTTCGAATCTATTCATGAAAAGCTCAGCGACTATTGGGGAAACTGTTGAACCCATATCAACACCATTTGTCTGTCTACATAAATTCCCTTTAAATGTAAAATAATTACTTTCTAGACAGAATTTCAAGCTCTTAATTATTTCACTGGTGTCCAGTGGACATCTTTGTGATAGCTTCTGTATCTGATTCTAGTAGACTGGAAATGATACCAACACTTTCGATAATAGGGATACTAGTATATAATGAGTTAATATCATACCTTACCATAATGTCCTCTTTATCAATTTCTCGGTGTTCTATTTGGGAATTGAAATCATATGAATCTTTTACAATATTTTAAGTGTCCTTTTGCAGTGGTTGTAGTATCGAAAAATAAGTATTTAGAGAGGTTGTATGTCGGTGAGTTGGTGAAATCTACTACTGGTCTTAATGGAACTGTGGGTTTATGTATCTTTAGTTGACCGTAGAATCTTTAAGGTACATAAGATTTCGGTTTGGCTGATTAGCCACCAACTCACTGACGGCTTCAAAGTCCTACAAGAAGCTCGGCATATCTCCTTCCTCGAAAACAGGCGGCCATGGGATTTTCATTGTCTGGAGGCAGCGACACCAATTGTAACAGTAGAAGACGAAAGACTTGGTAAAGGAATGTTTATCTACAATTTGGTATCTCTGTATAGTCAGATTAGATCTTCAAATCACCATTTGTACAGATCTTCCATGTTGTGCTACTTCTGGTCTTGATATCGCGTTTCTTTGTGTTCCTTTCACGTCTCTCATGTGTCTCCACAACACTGAGTGATTTGCTTTCTCTGATATCGAATCTATCTGCCTGCTATTTGATGTTTTTATGGCGATCAAAGTCTCTTTATATACTACTGGTAAATCTTAACAGTAGCACACTAGGAACGAAAAACAATGCAAAAAAGTAGTTTAAACAGACCGACAACAGAATAATTAAAATAATAACAATGAAATAAATTATTTTAAGTTTGACCATTGCTTGATATCAATTAGAGAATCGTTGAAAACCAGCCTAGAGTACTGGATAGCTGTTTCGTCCTTGTGTGTCGGAATCATTAGCAGTATGCATCCACCTCCAGGGTTCAAACCCAGGATCTTCGGGTTATAAGGTAAAGTCTTAGACCATTCAGCCACTGGGACCCGACTCCTCAATGACCAGCCCATGATTATTATTATTGTTTCCTAGAGGAACATAGGGTTTCAGCCAAACGTCTCCATTGCGTTCGGTTCTCCGCCAACATTTTCACCTGGCTACACATCTGCCCACATGCTTTCATCTCCTCTTCACATCACCTCCTCCATGTCACTCTCGTCGATTCCCATTCGGGCTCCACTCGAGCGATGGCCTGGCATATGATGTCACTTGACGATTTTCTCAGAGTATGACCAGCCAATCCATCTCCATTTCTTCCTGCATATCTGTTGCACAACTGGTTCCTGCTGGGTTGGTTCGCTCATTGCCAGAGATCCCTCACTATTGCTGATATTTTCTGGACATCTGATCTTGAGACAAGTATTGAGCGAAGACAGCTGTTGACGAAAGTCTGTAGTTTGTTTGAGGTGCTCTTCGTGACGCGGCGCCAAGTCTCTGATCCGTGGAGTAAGTAGCACTGACTTCACATTGGAGTTGAAAATCCGGATCTTATTTTCATTTTCATGCTGAGTAGTGCTGTTGATCTCCTCCACACAGCCCATGAATTCTACCACAATTCGTGATGATTTTAGCGCATGTGACTGTCACCAGCAACACTATCAACAGCAATAAGAGTGCATATTGGCGTTGAGTACCAAACTAGTGTTGATTTATGTTTGATGTCACACAAAATCGAAGACCTACAAGCGAAAACCGACAAACTGGTCGAAGAAGCAGCAAAGACAGGACTCCAGGTGAACATAGACAAGACGGAGGTTATGAAAATAACCAACCAACCACCAACAACAACAGTAGCAGCAACATCCAGCGCCAATCACCATCAACGGGAGGGATTTGAAAGAGGTTACTTCATTCACTTATCTAGGGAGCGTTGTCTCAACTACAGGCAGGTGGAACGAACGAGGATGTCAAATCGAGAATCGGGAAGGAGAGAAACACATTCATCAACCTGAAACCAATCTGGAAATCTTCGTCACTCAGCATCAACAACAAAATTCGGATTTTCAATGCAAACGTCAAGTCAGTTCTTTTATACGGATCAGAAACTTGGCGGGTCACCAAGAATATTTCCAACAGCCTGTTGCAGACCTTTATCAACGAGTAACTGTCTTCGCTCTATACTGAAGATCAGATGGCCGGAAAGAATCACCAACAAGAAACTATGGGAACAAACAAAGCAAGAACCAATCGCTCAACAAATATGCAGAAGAAAGTGGAGATGGATTGGACACTCACTGGCTGAGGAGGCCGTTGGGTGACACCGCGCGTTAGGCCGCTCGAGTGGAACCCGAAAGGGAAGCGGCGAGTGGGACGTCAGTGCAAGGGTGACATGGAGGAGATCGTGTGAGGAGGAGATGAAACAGTATGGACTAACATGGATGCAAGTGAAAAGTACAGCAGAAGACAGAAACAAGTGGAGACGTGCAGTTGAAGCCCTATGTTCCACTAGGAACCCAAGGGAACAATAATAATAATAATACCAAACTAGGCTGACGAAACAACTGGTCAGTAGTCTCTGGTTGGTTTTTAAATGGTTCTCTAACTGTGATGTGATATCAATTGAGTCTCTACACAAATTAACTTGTTATAATGGAAATAAGAAGATGAGAAGTAAAAAATACCACCTACTGTGATGAGCAGATTTTTACGCCTTTGAGAGAGAGAGAGAGAGAGAAAGACGAATGGCTATTGAGTGTGATATATTAATTCAGGTTGAATGAATTCCATTCTATGAACTCTATTCATGAACTCTCTATTTAATGAAATGATTATTAACAAAAAATCTAAAATAGACAAATAAACAAACAAAAGAAAAATTATAAAACACAGTAGATGGATATATATTTTTGCTATCAAAAGGGTTAATAGTTAAACCAATTAAAAATTGTAATAATAATAATAACAATAATAATAATAACCACAGAAATATGACACTAGTCGATTACTGGTGAATTATAAAGAGTGATATTATATATGTGTATATATACATGCATGAAAGCACCCACCATGTTATTTAAGGTCAAAAGTAATGCTTTCATAGAAATCAAAGAGAATAAATAATTCCATTGTGGGTAAAATTTGTTTTGATAAAGTCTCACAGTGTTGTTATACAGGATTATATTGACTGATGACGTTTCGAGCACAATTTATTGATACTCATAATCGTACCAAGGTACTCACACAACTTTCCAAATTCGTTTATATAATTCCACCATTAATCATCGTTTGATTTGATTGGTAGTAGTATTTTCCATTATTCCGGTATGAGTGATGAGTCATTCCTATTGCACGTGCTGGGTGTAGAAACTCGATGAACAAGGCTTCAGTAATCAACCTACATCCCTTCTCCACCTACCTATATTACTTCTTAGAATTGTAACCCTCTACCACCACCCTATTGTGTGGTTGTGTGTTAATGCATGCAGTGGAATGCAGTGCTGAGCTTTTTTCTAAATTACTTATCTTCGCTGGTGGGGTCAGTCATTCTTACCTTAGCTAAATTCTTATGTTCTGACAATCTGACTACCCCCGATCTACTAGTTTGACTGACCTATGTGGTTGACCTGACTCACAGTCATTGCAAGGTATTTTGTAAATTATATTATTTTGTCTAACTGGGTCAACTGGGTCCTTTAACCTACGGAGCTTGCCCCTGAGTGCGTTTGTAGGTTTGAATGCCAGCCTAATTCCTGCTTTATTTAGAATCCTAAGTAGGGTCTCAGATGTCCCCTCTTTATATGGTATAATAGTAGATGCCTTATATTCTCTCTTATTTTTGTTATAATTACTAGATTCACAATTATTTTTATTTTGCTTTTGTCCGTTTCTGATCTTCCTAATGAATTTTATAGGATAGTTATTTAACACCAACCGGCCATTCTTCTATCTGTTTCATTTCATCATTTGTCTTTCCTTGTACTACTAAGTGCTACTGC